CAACAGTATCTTTTCCAAACATATAATCAGATCCACCGCTTTAAACTTTAAACTGTCAAGCGCTTCGTTGCATACCTTGTAGTATACGCTTCAATTTAGTACAGTCCACACTGATGTATTGCAATAGCTCAATGTCATGGACATCAGCGTTGTCTTCAGAGCACACTGTCAGTTCCTGCAATCTGCAAAAATAAACATCCTTCTTAAAACAGAGGATAACGCTTGTGTGGTAAAGTGGGGAGGTATATATGAAGTGGCTTTGAATCCGTGAATGCAAAGGAATTAAGGATCACTCTTCAACCTACAGGATTATATTTCGTTGAATATGTGCAGCCAATGCAACAGAGTTAGGGACTAAGGATTTGTCCACTTTGAAATGATTCAATACAGGCAGCCCCCTGTATTGTTAACTCTTGTCTTTAACTTGAGTTTGTATGTGTAAGTCAGAATGTGTACTTAGAAACAAACTGCCTGTTATTAAAAATGGCAAATGCTGTTGTCCTTCTGCGAGCCAACAAACTACTGAAGCCACCCAATGCTTTCAGTAACCGTTGAAAATAGGCTGTATATTAAAAACACACAGCTTCAGCACTTCCTGAAAGTTTATCACCTTAGAAAGAAGGATGCCAACCACCATTTTTAGTAATATAGGCAGTTCAATTGTATTTAGGGGCTGTCCTTAAATCAGACTTTATTAATCTGGGGACTGATTGTATTTCCTTGTTCTACTGTATAAAGATGCTGATCACACACCCCTACTTGAATGGAATTGCCTGTTGATTTGACTCTAAGCCACCCTACCATAAAACCATTTCTTGATTTAAATCTATTATCGTTTTCATTAGGGTTTTTTCAACCCCACCTATTTTATAAAGCGTGGTGAGAAATTTTACTGTGTCTATTACTCCTGTGTCCTAATGAGAAGGAAGGACTCACTGGAGAAGGGCCTAATGCTGGGAAAGATGGAGGGCAATAGAAGAAGGGGACGACAGAGAATGAGGTGGCTGGATGGAGTCACTGAAGCAGTAGGCATGAGCTTCAATGGACTCCAGAAGATGGTAGAGGACAGGAAGGCCTGGAGGAACGTTGTCCATGGGGTCACGATGGGTCAGACATGACTTCGCAATTAACAACAATTACTCCTGTGTAGGAGATATGTATGTATGCTATGGTCTCCCCCTGCACAGACTATGTGCTGTATAAGAAATATATCAATTACTTCTATTTTTTGACATACAGTGGCACATAGACCAACACTTTGGCCTGTGGCATGGACCCATTACTTTACCATACAATGAAATGTCTGACTCAAACCTTTGTTCTACAAATATGAAGAGAAGACTACACTCAACTAATAGAAATTGTAATGGCATGTAGGAAAGTCCTTGGGAGAGAGGATGAAGGGATGATGCCAAGGGAATGGTCAGATAAAAGGGAGCTTAGCCCACAGCTGCATAGTGGGTAGGGCAAGAAGCTCAGAAGAGACTCTCCCTAACTTCTCAGGATGTAAAGGAGAGGGCAAGAGAATTGTACTTTCAGAATAGCAAGATTCTGTTAAGGTGGCCTTACAATGAAGTAGAATTAGCCCATCTGGTAATGAATCCTATCTGGTTAACCCAGTAAGGCCGACAGCAATACAGTCTTAAGTAAAGATAAAAGTAAAGGTTTCTCCTGCCCAGTTGTGTCTGACTCTAGGGGCGGTGCTCATCTCAGTTTCTTAGCTGAAGAGAGCCAGCTTTTCCAAAGATGCTTCTGTGGCCATGTGGCCAGCATGACTATACGCCAAGATGCACAGAATGCTGTTACCTTCCCACCAAAGTGGTATGTATTTGTCTCAGGGGCTGCCACAAAGAAGAGGGAGTCAAGCTATTCTCCAAAGCGCCTGAAGGCAGGACAAGAAGCAACGGATGGAAACTAACCAAGGAGAGAAGCAACCTAGAACTAAGGAGAAACTTCCTGACAGTTAGAACAATTAACCAGTGGAACAACCTGCCTCCAGAAGCGGTGAATGCTCCAACACTGGAAGTTTTTAAGAAGAGACTGGACAGCCATTTGTCCGAAATGGTATAGGGTTTCCTGCCTGAGCAGAGGGTTGGACTAGATGACCTCCAAGGTACCTTCCAACATCATCATCATCATCATCATCATCATCATCATCATCATCATCATCATCATTTGCATTACATTGTTTTGAACTGCTAGGTTGCCAAGAGCTGGAGCAAGTTAACATCATGCACAGCTCATGTCTAGAACCCGGGCTATTGACTTTCCAGCTGACAAGCCCAACATCTTTAAACACTGAGCCATTGCGTTCCCTACAGTGTTACGTATGTGCTATTAGTTTACATGCAATAAACCCCAAGTCACTACTGAATTTTCCATGAGTTCCTTGATACTATTCACAGCTCCATAATGAAGCCTGCCAAAAAACAAAACTCCCAACCATTAATTCCTTGACCCCAATTCAATTAATTGTATAATTAAATTTACGTGTGTCTTCTCTTGCTTGTCTCACTTTCTAAATGACCCGTGTTCTGGCCAGGGAGCTACAAATAACTGAATCAGATATTCTTATGTCAGCTGAAAAAAAAAACAACTGGTTGCCTAAGTCTCAAATCTACAGAGGCATATCTGAAAACAGAAACACTAAGGGAGCTGTTAATTTCATCCAGGCACAAAAATATTTAATTACTCCTCCTGACATGGGAGTGTGATGGAAACCCCTCTGCAGATCTTAAAGCAGAAGCACGGTTCTCCAGAGAAGCAACAGCAATATTACACTTGCAGATGGGAGCCAAATGGCCATCTCTTTTAATGTCTAATGTCTATGAGATCACAAATTGAAAGCATCAATTGAAATCAACCCCCCTTCCCAACCAATACAGCTGAGGAAAGAGGATGCCTAATGACATGATTCAAGAAGCATATTTATTTTCCTCTACCCCCCCCTCCTATGAATATAGGGTGACATGATAATAGTGGTCCAATATCTAAAGGGCTGCCACAAAGAAGGGGGAGGGGTGTCAACCTATTTTCCAAAATACCAGAAGGCAAGACAAGAAACAACGGATGGAAACTAATCAAGGAGAGATCCAACCTAGAACTAAGGAGAAATTTCCTGACAATGAATCAGAAGAATTCATCAGACTTGTCTCACTGGAGGTTTTTAAGAAGAGTTTGGACGGTTTTCTGACTGAGCAGAGGGCTGGACTAGAAGACCTCCAAGGTCCTTCCAACTCCATTATTCTATCTTCTATCTCCAAAGTCCCTTCCAACTCTGCTATTCTGAATGCAGTGTCATCTATCCTAGACACAAGCCGTTGCCATTAAGACATTTAGCATGAAGGGAAAATGCCACTTCCTTCACACCAGATGCATAAAGCAACTCTTTGGAACAGATGTTATGAAAGATCTTCAAAGTTTAGCTGACATAGCCTTTAATCATAGATCTGTCACTGTGATGACTAGGGCCTGAAGCTGTTCCGACCCTGAACATATTTCCACAGAAAAACTTTGCCTAATCCCATGCCATTTGGGTGCACTGGAAACTACATTTCCCAGAATTTTCAGTCAACATGGCCAATTGTGTAGATACAAAATGTGGAAGGAGCTTCCTCACAAGTGGCATCAGTTTTGGATACATCCAGCCATGAAAGCTTATATTTTAGAGAAAATACTAGTGAGATTGCGTCTCACTATCATATCTAGAACTTAGGATGCCCAGTCAACTCTTCCTTTTTTGCTTTCCTAGGAAAATAGGCATACTCTCAAATAAAGGATTGCCTTGTGATCACCAACCATTTTAATTTCTTTAGGAAGAATATAAGTGTAGAACTATTCTCAGCAGTAGTTTATTTAATATATTATTAAGTATAAATTTTAGCGGCTGGCAATTTGCCACATAATTTTCAGTTAAGGCCAATTGGCCTATTTTCTATATTAATAATAGTTTAAATGGAATCCTAGAATGGACAATTTTATTAATACTCTCCCATTCAACACCATTGCTGGTCAAAAAAGATACAAGAAAGCAGTCTTCCTCATATCAGGAAGCTTGTCTGTCAGGATCTTCTAGTTTAACTACAGCGTTCAAATACAGGAAGTTCTTGACTTATGGTCATAATGGAGCCTGAGATTTCCATTATAAGCCACGACAGTTGTTAGTCAAGGCACCCAAAAGAGCCCTGGTGGCGCAGTGGTTAGAATGCAGTACTGCAGGCTAATTCTGCTGACTGCCGGCAGTTCGGCAGTTCAATCTCACCAGCTCAAGGTTGACTCAGCCTTCCATCCTTCCAAGTTCAGTAAAATGAGGATCTAGATTGTTGGGGCCAAGATGCTGACTCTGAAAACTGCTTAGAGAGAGCTGAAAAGCATTGTGAAGTGGTATATAAGTCTATTGCTAAGTCTAAGTGCTATTGCTATGACCAGACCTTATTTTGACTTTTTTTGCAGCAGTTGTTTATTCCTAAGGGCAAGTTTGAAGGAGACTTTAAGTATACAGTAGTTTGTCTCCCAGCAGCATTTCCACTTTTATTTTAGAAAGAGAAAACAAATCACACCAAAACTGGGCTGCTGACCATCAGATCTCAATTGTGCAGTCTTGAAATGGGCCATACAAAGCCCAAAGGCTGTCAGTCTTTTTCCAAGGATAGACAGTATGGAACTGAACTGGAACTTAAGCATTGATGGCCTCTATGACAGAAATCAATCGTGTTAGTGAGCTCTATTATTTTCATTGCTGCACTTTTCAATTCTTTCTACTCATCTTCACGTGTGCCCTTTCAAATGACTAAATTAATGTAAACCTTCACTGATAATTGAAATCCAAGCAAACAGCATACTATAAATAGTTTACAAGGGCAGAGGAGACAAGCTATCTTGGGCAGCAATATTTTGATTCATTCAACAATTTTGTGATCTTATTTGACTACCGAGGATGCCAGCACGACTTCAGTGACATTTTTAAGAATGACCCAGAGGTAAGAGCTCTCTTCAAGCACTCACCTGGTAGAGATACGGCTGAACACCGCATTAAAATTGTTGCAGCTGAGAGAAAAGAGAACCCCAGAGGCAGAATTGCGTAGCTCTGTAGCATGTTGATTCCCTTCACGGTAGGTGTGGATGAAATGGCAGATCTCTGGCAACAGCTGCTTGACCAACATTGTCTCATCCAGCCGCATGGTGTCTTTGGGTTGCTGGAAGACAAAAGTTGAGATGGAGTCGCCTTGAGGCATTTCCATAGCTCTGATACTCCAGAGACCAAGGAAGTGTCCTTTACTCACTAGGAATCCAAGTATTTTTCTGAAAGAAAACTACAGAAATGTTCAAAAGCACAGCTGATTAAAACCTCCACTCTTCCAGTTATTTACTTCAACTATGTGTGCTTCTAGGACCCAGTTGGGAATGTCTCTGTTAACCATGTGGTGTAGCCATGTTAACTGCCTTGCCACACACCACAAAAGAGGCTGGAAGATCAATATTTCTCATGCAGGAGGTAAGTGGGTGAAAAATGGAATTGCTACAGAGACAGTTTCTAGAGAGGACTCTAGGAAAAAAAAGGGGTCATTTAAATCCCCAGTCAGCTGTTTCACTGACATAGCTAATTTATTTGCTTACTTACTAGGGCACAGACTCTACACTGTTTCAATCCAGAAGGATTGATTGGGAGAAATATTTTAGTTTTGCACACATGTCTATGGAGATTTTCAATTATCCAGATCATGTTATCCCAAAGGAGCTGTTTAAAAAGCATCTGGACTTTCTTGGGTTTTTTTCCCCTTGAAAGGGTTTCGCCAAACTTCTTGGATGTGAAGCAAAACATTTTCAAGATAAAAAAAAAAACCCAAGAAAGTCCAGTTGCCTTTTGAACAGCACCTTTAATTGCAAACAGATCTGGAGCTATCTGAAGCTAAATCTAAATTAGGATTAGTTGACTGGTTCAACTGACCTTGTTTCCTTATTCACACAATGTCCTGGCCACATCCGGCATGCACCAATTAAGCATGGTATATGAACAAGGCCACCCTATGTCTGAAATATTGGGAAATATCTTAGCTAATTGTGGAAAAATACAGCACATCAGGATAATTTGCCGCAGGAATTGATGCTGTCTCTTCAAAAACCTTTAAGATGGCTGAGGAAAGCAAAACAAGACTCTTTGATCCTTTTAACACAGCATTTCACTGTAGAGGAAACTGTACATTTCTCTTTTTATCCACATAAGTACTAATTTTCTACAGCAAGTCAGATGGGCTAAAATGGAATCAGCCAGCTTGCAGTTCAACATATTAAGAGACACTCATTCACTGCCTTAGCAGGCTATGTGAACCAAACTACTGCGCCAAGCCAAAACATAGTTAATCTCAGGGCCATAGCATCTTACGTGAAAGCAATAGTGACTTTTGTGAATAGAGTATGTATTTAGGATTAATAATGTAGTATAGGTTTCTAGGAATCCTCAAGACTATGATCTAAAAGCAGATATTATTTTTATTCCCTTCAGATGCTGGTTGTATCCCTAAATTATGCTCCTTCTTTCTAGCTAGCCAAGTAGATAAAATAACTGCACAGTGCCTTTTGTTCAATTAGTTTTGCAATCTCTTTGAAAGAAAAAAGATGGATCAGAAAGGATAGCAGCAAAATGAAGAATAGTATTTAAAGCAGGTATGGGCAACTATGACTATTTAATGATCACAGGTTGCAAAGTTGTCTTAGTTGCCTACCCAATTTAGAACATCTGTCTGCCTGGAGGCATTTCTGCTTCTTGTGGGAGGGAACAAGACTGACAAGAGACACAGAGACACTGACAAGGAAGAGGATACAAGTAGTCCTCAACTTATGACCAATTGCTTAGCTACTGCCTGAAGTCAAGACGGGCCCCCCAAAAACTGCAACGTATGATGCAGTTCCAAAGTTACAACATCTGCCCAACCCTGGTCACGTGACTACATTTTTGGCACATGGCAACCAGCTTCTCTTTAAGGCCATTTGCAGTGCCCTGTGGTCACATGACCACAATTTACCTCTCTCTCTCTCTCTCTCTCTCTCTCTCTCTCTCTCTCTCTCTCTCTCTCTCTCTCTCACACACACACACACACACACACACACACACACAGAGAGAGAAACTGGTGTTTACGTTCATTTTCGGGGGGGGGGGAATGCCCCATAGCAAACTTAAATGCTTTAAAAAAAAGATTGTAAAATTGAGTGTGATCATGTGACGATCCACTTTACGACCGTCACAAATTTACAACCTTACTTGCCAGGCTCAATTATGGTTGTATGTCAAGAACTACCTGTAGTCAGTTCAATGCCTATGGCCCTATGCAACCACACAGCTCCAGTTATTCACCTTGAATTTGCAGGCTAAAATAAGGCTCCTTAGGGTGCTACCCTACACAGCCAGAGAGTGGGTAAACAGTAAGTAAAGCAAACAAAAGTCTTTTCAGTGGCAACCCCTTCCCAGCAGAACACCCTTCCCAGGGACGCTCAGTTAACGCAAAGCCTGGGCAGAAGACCAGATTTCGCGTGCCCAGATTTTCAAAGTACTTCCTTTTTATGGAAATTTAATGCTTCCCATCAATTCTACTTGCACTTGGTTCTTTTACTGTGGTTTTTTTTTTTTTTCCCCCCTTTGGAAATTCTAGTGTAAATAATTAACTCAAGCCCTGGGGGGGAGCCAGCTGGGGGGAGCCAAGTAGAAGCACCGTGGAAAAGTATAATGCAATCAAAGGACTAGAAACGGCATGCTGGATTGCCCTGTTCCTCACAGAAAGGTGCAATTTAGTTTCCCAACACTATTTACAATTACAGGTAGCACTTTTTCTGTCCGGCCTCCTCCCCCTCCCAAATTAAATAGCAACCAAGTCAAAAGAATCATCAACAGAAATAAACATCATCAGAAAGGGAAAAAAATTCTTATTCCAATCCAAGCGGAAATGAGACCAAGTGGTTGGCAATGCAGTTAGCATCATCGGTTTGAGACAAGAGTTGAGATTTCTGAAAAGATCTGTATAGGGCTCCAAATACAAAACAAAAGTACTCAAAAGTTGGGCATTTGCAGCATCATACTATATTTTGGGTGCGTCGCATGGAAGGAAAAGCTGGCAATGGTCCGCAGGAGCGCTTCTGTTTCTTTTTTCCCCTGGGGGTTCAAGGACAGTCAAAGAGCACTGAACTATACCTGGGAAAGGGGAAGGGAAAGAGGAAGGGAAGGGAAAGGGAAAGCAAAAGCGAAGGAAGGGGAATGAGAAGGGAAAGAGAAAGAGAAAGGGAAGGAAGGGGAAGCAAAAGGGAATAGAGGAAGGGAAAGTGAGGATTCTGTAGACCCGTGGTGGCGAACCTATGGCACGGGTGCCAGAGATGGCACTCAGAGCCCTCTCTGTGGGCACGCGCGCCGTCGCCCCAGTCTTAGGCCTTCAGCTGGATTTTATAAAACCTTTTCGCTTTAGGCCTCCGCCGCCGTGTGCAAAAAAAAAAAAAGTTCAATCAATCAGTCAATTTCAACTTCTCGCGGGGAAAAAAAAGATCTTGCAAAGATGGAATTGATTGACTGAACTTTTTAGTCCCACCCAGTCTGCCGTTACCAACGCAGCCACGCCCACCCAGTGGGCCACGCCCAGCCAATGGGCCACGCCCAGCCAATGGGCCACACCCACCCTGCACTCGACGATGCATAAGTGGGTTTTGGGTTGCAGTTTGGGCACTCGGTCTCTAAAAGGTTCGCCATCACTGCTGTAGGATAAAGTGCAACTCAAAAACCAACTGATAGTGGGGGAAGAGCAGACATGGGCAGATGAGTTGAAAAGTAAAGCACAGCCCATCAACTTCAGCACTTCTGCAGAGATGCTGACAGCTATGCCCAGCTGCTGGTAAAGCACCCTCCTTCAACCACCATCTCCCAAAAAAGTAAAAGACTGAGGGACTGTACAAAGCCAATGCTTCAGCAGCAGGTCAGATCACCATCTGATAGCAAGAGAGGCCAACTAACTTGAAGATGACTAAACAATAGCTCAAGACATGCATTTGGATCAATATAAAAAAGCAGGGGGGAATGACATTGCCATAGGTGTATACTATAGGCCACCCAACCAAAAAGAGGAAATAGATGAA